TATATATACATATTCGAATAAATGCCCGGGATTTTATTGAAAAGGGGTTCTTGGGGGGAGGGGGTGGTGTTTATTTTTTGGTGTAAAGTGGATACATATACAGTATATTCAAATAAACACCCCTCAATTTCGCTGTAAATGTGGAACTACAACAAATAATTATCTTCAAATGTGTTGCATTGCATGATCATAAAAATGTAATTCCATTGGAGTAGAACATTAATTGAGAATGATGTTACTTGGCTCTCTCTTTTTTTCTTTTTTGGGGTGAGAGGAAGAAATAAACACATGGGGGGGGGTTATTCCAAATGAGGTTCTAGACTGAGGGGGAGTTAATTCCAAGAGGGGAATTTATTCAAATAGATATGGCATGAATTTTGTATCTATTTTATACTTTAGAGCTGATGCCAATTCCAAAAAAAGTTAAGTTAAAGTTGAGTTAAAAAAAAAGTTTGAGTTTTTAAAAACTCCTTTTAAATATTGTACTGTATATTTTTCCATTAAATCGCTACCCTTGCCATAAAGAAAAAGCTTTTTCTATTTATCCACAACTATTTACTGTATATACATAATTTTATTGTCTTTGCAATAAGCTTTGATTTCAAATACAAAAATAAAAAACTTTTCTGTGCTTGTACGTAAAGAGAAATCATCTTTATATGTGGCAAAGACAAGCCAAACCAGTCACTCGTCGCAAATTTTGTTTCAGAGATAATGGCCAAAACATGCTGGAATGTCACAATTTTTGAAATCTATTTTATTGCACTAAACTAACCTTTATATATCTATATAGATTCATGCTATGCTGTTATTTTCCCCATTTTCAATGTTAAAACAAAAATTTTTAACGATTTTGTGTTATTTTCTACCAGAGAAATGCCCAAAATCATATTACTTAACTTTGAAGGCTGATTTCTCAAATATTGTTTTTTAAACAGCTATATGTTTAAACTCATGTAACTTCATAACAAAATGTCATACTTAAATGATTTGTTTACCATATTATAGCTTTCATTTTACTGTTTAACCCCAGGGGGCTCACTCTTAAATATTTCTATATGGGTAGGTGCCGCATTTACGGGGGTATTTTTGAGGACTTGGTAGTGCATGTGTAGGTATACCAGGTAAATTTGGTAGTTAAAATCCCTGCCCCGTTACATATAGAAGTTGCATAATTTTTTACACAATTTTTAGCAAAGATTTTTTGCTAACATCCCGTGCTAAACCTACCGCTGATACGTAGCCACAAACAGTAGGGAATGCCAACAGACAAAACCGCGGTCTTATTCGCCATCTGGAACCAGTACAAGTTTAATTTCATAGGTTGATAGTCCCTAATAATTTTCAGTAAAATAGGTAGTGCAAGTGTCTCATGTCTTGGAGTGGCTGCTGCACCCCACCCCCCGTAAGGTTGGTACACAAGTCAGCTCCCTGGGTGTTTAAACTAAAAATCCATTTTTGCAACGAGTGACTGGTTTGGCTTGTCTTTGCCACATATACTGTACTTGAATGCAACACAGTAAAAGTAATAATCATTAGCTTACCAGTACTAGTTATATCATTTTTTTAAAATTGGTCAATGACGTAGTTCCCATAGTACTTAAGCTCTAGATTATCAAATTTTCTTTGAGAAAAAACTGTTGTACTGTATGCCCATATGTAGTTATATGCCTATATATGGTCATGATGTGATGGTGTCATCATGACCATATTTAGGCATGTCACATGTTTTTGTCAAATAATATTAGATAGTCTGGACAGAACCTGTAAGAACTGGTACCATTACTATTAATATTTTATAATGCTAAACAAAAATTAAGTAGATTTTCTATATTAATAATAAAGTTGTTATTAGTGTTACAGTTAATGTTACAGAATTTACTGCGTTTAGGAAAAGCAGATTCTAAGTTTTATGTACTATATTTGATATTTTATCCTTTGCAGGACATCCACGTAGAAAATGAGCATGTGCCAGGCTTCTTCTTGCAGTTAAACAATGAAAACAAAAATGACAGTCGATGGAAAAGGACATTTGTACCAAAGCGAGCATTGAACCAGAACAAAGAGTGCAGCAGCGGCAACGATGTGGATTCTGAAGTAACAGTTAGCAAGAAAGTTTATTCTCGAGAGTTCCTTTTGTCTTGCTGGCATCACTCTAGCACACATACCGTACCTTCAGACCTGATAGCTAGTGATATATTAGTCTCTGATGTAAGTTTATTAGCTTTTTCAAATATAGGAGGACAACTGTAAAGGCTTCAACTACAGTATGTTTAGTTCTGCAATATTGGTTAATACTGTATATGAATATATGTAACAAGTTAGCAATTTCCTTTTTGTAAAAACCATAAGAATGCAAAACTTGAGTACTTACTCAGATGTTTCGAATTGCATCACAATTCTTTTTCAACTGATGTGTAACACCTATTCCAGTCAGTTGAAAAAGAATTGTGATACAGTGCTTTGAGTTAAGATGCTTTCCTTCAAATTCTGTGACACAATTATTTTTTACCCACGACTAAAAAAACAAGTTCACTTCAAAGCCTAAAACTGCATTAACATCAGATCTGAACCAACATTTTTTACTGTACCACATTTCCGGTGTGTTAAATGAAATGGGTCTATTACATACTGATCCAGTTTAGTAGGCTTTTGATGTGAATGTAATTGATAAGTCTTGTGCTTGCTTTTGTATGTGGAAGAAATAAAAGTACTTTTTTCAGACAAAGAAAACAATTTATTTATATCTGTGCACTTAATAATGCATGATTTGTTGTACTGTAATGGTTTTTTAAATTTTCATTTCAAAATGATAATTATTAAACACAAGCTTTGGTGTACATATTATACTGTGCTAAAACTTTAGCACATACCAATACTGTAATTAAACCTTAATTTAAAAGAAAAAAACACATTACAGTAGTTGTTACTTGCAGTTTCATTTTATTTTGTAGATGCGATGGCAACCTAGTCCATTTGATGTTCTAAAGCCCACAAACAACTGGAGAGACGCGATGGACACTGGTATCTCGTTTACACAGTCAAGACGCATGTTTACAGAACGAAAAGGTCTCTAGTAGCCTTATTTTGCACAGCTAACAGTTTTTATGTTCAGATTTTTGCAAATCAGGAACACTAGGCCGTACATGCTGGCCAAATAACAGCCCTTATTTCATGGACTTCAAATGCTCTAGACATTATTGTGGAAATGATATCTGTACATTAAAAGGAACCAGTTGTTTTGATTTGTAACAAGTTTCATCAGAACTTCTTTCTTTTGCCTCTTTTCTTCGAAAGAATCCTGCGTAGCTGAAAAAAGCCCCAAAGAACAAGGTACTGTTAAAAGTAAATAATGATGTTCACATTTCTTGCAACGCATTGTCCACACTATAAAAGAAAGTGGATTACTAATCCCTAAAATAGTAATGCTTCAAATTTATATAATTAGAAAGAAATATACATATCTTATCTTTGGTGATTTCAAGGCAACAGAGGGCGTAATAAAAATATTTAAAAAAAACAAAACTCGCCTAATGACTAGGAAAAGCAAAACAGAAAGGAAACATGCTTTTTACACTCTATTAACATCTGCCTTTGCCAAAGTAAATCTATGTCACGTAGAACATAATAGTGTGAACATATACGAGGTACTGTAACCAAACTACCATACTCACCCGGCTTGGCATTTTCTTCCTGAAGAAAAAAAAATACAGCATGTTACAGTCAAAATGAATAATTAAATAATACATTAATAAGTATATAAACATTTTTCAAACATTTTGATTTCAGCATTAAGAACTACTTCATGAAAGAGAATGTTCAAGCCCAAGATGACTAGGTTTCTAAGATTATCCAGAACTTTCTTGATACAACATAACATACATATTCAAATATTCAGCAACACAACTGCTGAACCATGTAAACTTACTTCTTTTTACTTTGAAAATTGTCCACATCATCAATGTCATGTGACAAGGCACTTATGTCACCAAACTTGGTGATGCCATCTAGACTGGACATTGTTGCCATTCGCTTCTGGGCATGCTGAAAAAAGCAGTTATCAAAAGCATTATATATTATTCAATAGTTTTCCATTTATTCTATAAGTATTATAGCTATAAGAGGTGACTCCTACGATTGGTATTCAGTGTTGTTTAGGTACCGTATTTGAATAAACTGGAGCCTCACCTCGAATAAACACCCCCTAAATGACTAAAAAAAATCTAATGGAAGAAACATCATTCTAAACACATTCTACTGATGTTCTACTCCAGTGGATGTACATTTTTTTCTTACCTGGTTGGAATCAATAAGTCTTAATGATCATGCAATAACACACTTTGACAGAAATTATATTTTGTAGCTCCACATTTATAGTGAAATCATGAGGCATTTATTTGAGTATAAATGCATCCGTTTTAGTCCAAAAAAAAAAATACTCCTCCCTCAAATAAATAATAAACATTTCACTTCCCAATGAAACTTCATAGAGTATCATATACTAGTTCCATCTACTAGATGGATAAACAAACAATTAAAAACGATGTTTTTTATCCATATTATATCATACAGCAACGCTGCCCAGCTCTGTTCCAGTATCGAAGTAGAAGCACTAACTGTAAATAACAGGCCACCTAGCGTGCAATAAAATAAGCTTGTCACTCCTGTATACCAGGGTGACTACAGCTTCAATGCAATCAATCAATAAACAATGAGTTTTTGCTGAACATACTTTCTCTTTCTTGGTGACAGGCAATCTTTTGAAATATTCTTCTTCATATCTGAAATTAAGAGGATGAATTGAATGAATTGCATCAATACACAAATGAGGAACAAAGCATCATGTAGAAATCCTGCTGCACTACGTTCACCCATCTAGAGGTGACAAAATCATAACTCTATGCTACTAGCACTGCACTATAAATGATCATGTTGTAGGTTCTCCTACAGGTTTTTTACTTACTGATTTCTTTCCTTTGCAGCCCTTTCTTGCTTTTGTTTGTAAAAGTTAACATTCTCCTGCAAATTTAAATTAATAGTTGATTGGTTAACATCACGCTACTACATTATCTCATTTCTTGGAACAGATAGTTCAAATAATAATTACAGTATTCAGATAATATGAAGGTACAAATGTTCACACATTTACAAATGTTCACATGTTCAAAACAGGGTTTGGCTGAGCCCCCTCCTAGTTTCAGCTGTTGGGCAACAACTAAGTAAAAAGTATGTTAAACATGCTTACCCTGATTTCTTCTGGACCATCACTATATTCGGCTGAGGAGGGAAAAAAGTTTTAGAATTTTTAAAACAATCAGAATATACATCAGATATTTGGTGCAATATTAATCCCAGTTACTGATTGGTTGATTTGACTAATTGATTGATGGTGAATGTGCTGTCTGTCTGTATCGATTTTCAGAATTTATTATTGCTTAATTTGTTCATATATTTCTGGGCATGCTCCTTGCAAGTGTCATGTGAAAATTCTTTTTTTTTTCTTCACTTGGTGATCATTTTAGAGTACTGCGCCCTATCATTTATTTCAATGTTTATTGCCTACTTATAATATAAACCCTTTTAATGTTATATCTTGATTTTGAAGAAATAAATGTTTGATTGATTGATCATACAAGGTATTAGTGAACCTCACCTCGTAAATCTTGGATAATAGAACTGCTCAATGCCTTCTTTTTGGCTCTTTCTAAAAGTCTTTGACGCCTCTCTGCAGCAGACTCATCATCAACTAACAAAGACAAAACATTAGTAGTAAAATGTAGTAACATTTGCCTTAAAGGTTAAAGGTTATTCATTTATAATGCGCAAATACAAGAGTCTGTATGCGCTAAAAAAGTGAGCAGATGCAATTGGAAGAACAAGAAAAGAAGAACTCCAAGCCAGCACCCAAACCGCAGTACGGGATATGCCCTTGTCGCTGAGCAGGGATCTGTCACAATGTACCCTGTCTAGCACCAGTTGAGTCTCGGCCATCCCAGTACGCAGGTGCCCCTATCCTGATAGAACTACAACAAACAAAAAGAAAAACTAGCTGGCAAGGAATGGAAAAAGGGAAAAAATTAAAGTGAATTAAACGAAATAAGTTCGGTGACTCCTATAAAATATATTTAAAATAAAATAATTAAAAAGTCTATTTTAACAGTCTTTTTTACACAAGATATTTTACACTAGAACATTATAACAGTACAAAGGAAAGGAATTAACATATACCATAATGCATTGCTGCAACTCTGGGAGGTACATATTTCTTTGGCTTTCCAACATCTACTTCACTATCACTGTCTTCTTCCTCATCTTCAAGCTGTCAAATTATCAATACATTAATTTGCAAATCAGATGAAATGCAAAATTATCTTTAGTAAACTCAATTTTTTTTTCTATAACGATAGGGATATTTTATTGTTAACCATCACTCATGCCATGCACTTTGGTTTTTAAGTCACATGGCTAAAATTTATTAAGGAGCAAATTTAACAAAGCTAGAAAAGTGGCATTTACTAACAAACATACAGTATTTTAGGATCCTTGGTTTTTGAGAATTGGAGTCCATCGGCATCTAGTTTTGCACTCCAGTATACTTAGAAACTAAAGTCATCATAAATATTATCGTAAATTATTATTTTTATTATTACATTATACATGGGCGTAGGTTGGGGGTGTGCGGATGCACCCTCCATGGTGGCAAATTAGTTCCACTGAGTTGGTTAAAATACTAAAAATCACCATTAAGTTTTCATTGGAAGCTTTCACTTACTTTACTGATCAAGTTGTCAGGGTTGGGTTTGAATCTTGTTGGATCATTCTGAGCAACAGTGCCAGTAAGTGCGGTCTTAATCAGCTTATCTACCTGGTATTGCAGTTTGTAGTCGATTGGTCTCATCTTTTCCAAGACAGTTCGAATCTCAACGAGACGTTGAATGGCTGGAATTCCATTGATCTGTTGACCTTCACATTTCTTCATCATCACTAATCCCAAATTCATGATATAACTGTTGAGTTTAAAGGTTACAAATCTTTATAAATAAACATCACTTTATCATAATTTATATAATTTTTATACAATTTTGCTATTTTTGCTTACAATGTCACATTTTTAGGACTTTGTCGCTATTCCTTTTTATATAATACTGTTCTCTATTACAGTAACCAAACCTCCAACAACAAAAATGTGCTAAAAGTATTCATCAAATTAGATGACTCTTTTCTATTAGCTATTTGTGGTGCACATTAAGTTATAAACAAGATAGGTGCCTAGCTGGATGGATGGTAACCAGGTGGAAAATAAAGCCTGATTTCTATAAAATCACTATCACGCTATCACTGAAAGCTTTTGATTGGTCAGTTGAGTCAGGAAGTCTTCCCAATTGTGACAGGGAAAGCAACGCAGTAAAAATTCTGTTGAGACAGTGTAGCAATTTTTGTCTCGGATACAATTTGTGGATCACGGCTACACTGCCTTACAGGGAGGTCAGACAATTTCTGGAAAGAGCCAGCATGGTATGCTTGTGGGGAATCTAGACAATATGTTTGCCCACTGTTAACTGTTATTAATTAGAATTAAATGAGAAAGAAATTTGTATGTATTTTGGTCTGTTAAGTTGTGGGTGATGGGGCCTGTCAAACAGGGCTTAATCCCGTACACTCATGCCTCTCGCGCTGTTATGATAAGACTACCTGAGCAGAAGATGATATTTGACTTCTAAAAAACTGACTCCTTTAGTGGTAGATATATCTCCATTTTTAACTTTATTTAACAGCATTTCCACTTGACTCTTGACCCCTGATACCTGAAGAAAACAATTGACATAAATATTACATTGTAAAAACAGTCATACTATCATTTATAGTATAATAATAACTATTGTTAAGGCAATCATGACACCATCACTGCAACTCCCAATGTTATTTTGCTATCCCCAACAGTGCACTAATTTTTCATTAGTGCACATTTTGTTTGATTTTTTAAATTTTTTTATTTGTGTGCAACAGGCCAATTTAATCGCCACATCACACACTGTGATGAATTCTAGGCTAATGATGGTAAATTAAGAGTGGCGCTTAACAACAATTATTATGTTTGGTCAAAAATGTTTTTTTTTTGTTGATAAAATTGTTGTAATATATAATATTTATAGTGTTTTACCTGAGAACTGATATTACTAAATAGTGCAATAGTCTGATGTACATCTTCTTCTTCCATATTTTAAAATCTGAACTGAGGATTTTTTCTGCGGAATGCGCTATAAAAGAATAGAGTTGTTATTAATATAAAATAATGAATATCTAATTTAGGTCAAAGTTTTATCATACTGTACATAATTTAGTATTACATAGTGTTAGTGAATTGCTCATTGGAGATTTTATAGCAGATACTCAATAAATGCATTAAACAGGGAGTTGTTATTAAGAAAATAACAACTAAATAACAACTCCCTGCATATATGTTCTTCCATATAAGCATTTAAAATATTTGTGTGTATCCATATTTTTTCTACAGTAGTCTTTTAGCAACAAGAAACTAACTTCACAAGAATCAATAAAATATGCTTCATTCTGAAGCCCTGAGATAGATAAATTGAGGCATGTTAATTCATATTCGCATGAAATTCAGAATTGTTTTCATTAACTGACAAGTACATATAAAAACGAAAATCATGGGAATAAAAAAAAAAATCTGGGATGAAAGCAAAAAAGTAATCATTGCGATCAACTTATTTCCATTGTGGTCTTAAATATGAGACAGAGAGATAGTCTAAAAGGCACATTCTAAAGCGAATAGGTATTTGCCTATTTTGCCCACTTGTCCAGGGAACTGGCTCATCATAGGCGCGACCCCGTATTTCACTCAAGAACTTTGAGAGTGAATAGGCCCAGGCCTGGGTAAACTCTGAACAAACATTTAAACTGATTTTCATTTCAATTAGGCACCTAGGGCCTAGACTATAAACCAATTTCAAGATCATTATAAAATGTTACACAAATATACATACATACACCAATTATTACAAATGTTGACACTGCATTTGTCTCGATGTTTACAACAAAACACGTGTGACTTGTGGCGTCAAGCACCGGATGTAAATTAAAAGGTTATCTTTTGTTATCATCATTCTTATAAAGGTTTTATTGTATGGTACAATATTGTAGTATTTTTATTACGATTTTATACTGTTTACTTTAAATAGCGAATAAATTTAGAACGTATGAATTAATTTTTATTTGCTTGTTTGTTTGTGGTCCAAAAACCGAACTAGGTCTGCCTATGTTAGAGCAGGGAGTTGTTAACTCCCTGGTTAGAGCATCCCAGCTAGAGCAAACACAATTAATCCATGTACCGACCAACCACCGATGCGAAGAAGATATGATACCATAAATTGACTGAAAATGGCATCGCATCACGCTGGACAGTTGAGTGGGGCTCGTAGTAATAAACTTCGACACAAGTGGACTATTGATTTCAATACGAAGTAATATGATTTACATGTTATATATCCTAATATATCCTAACTATATTTGTTAAGTAGGTCTAGGTTAATACAAGTAAGAGCGTGGAATAGGCTTATTTTATACGTAAAATTTTAGTTAGGCCTAGGCCCTGGCTAGGGAATTTCCTACAGACGATTGAGCCCATAGACGATCGGATCGGGCCTAAAACTAAGACTGTCGGGCCTATTTTCAGGACGATCGGCTCAATTTGCAAGTGAGCCCGATCTTCCTGAAAATAGACCCGATAGTCTGGAAATGGACCTGATCGTCCTGGGCCCGATCGTCTTTATATACAGTATTTGTTTAGGTTGATTTCAAGATTGAAAAAAAAACAAACACAGCATTATCATCCTGTTAAATTAGACGCTCTGTATACCGAAATAATATTAAAATAAATATGTTTTCTGATTATCTTAATTATGATTCTTAATAGCAGTATGTTAATATAATGAATTTAGAACACAATATTGAATCCAAATGAAAGTGGTGGTTGATAGTCCACACTAGTAGTAGTAGATAGGTGGATCCGATCGTCCACACTAGTTGGGCCCAGTCGTCTTGAATTGTTGGGCCTGATCGTCTTGTGAGCTTGATCATCTGACACCCATGTTAGATCCATCATGGTCTCCTTCTCTGCATACATGTCAAGGCTCACGCATTCGGTGTGAGACTCGCGCATTCTAGGTCTGTCTCATGCTCACGGTTGAAGGACCAAAATCTCACGCATAGGCCTAAATGTATTAATATTGATAATATTGCGCACATATGCCACCCCAGTAACTGTCTCTTATACACATCTAGATGTGTATAAGAGACAGATGTTAGAGCAGGGAGTTGTTAACTCCCTGGTTAGAGCATCCCAGTTAGAAATCCATGTACCGACCAACCACCGATGGGAAGAAGATATGATACCATAAATTGACTGAAAATGGCATCGCATCACGCTGGACAGTTGAGTGGGACTCGTAGTAATAAACTTCGACACAAGTGGACTATTGATTTTAATACGAAGTAATATGATTTACATGTTATATATCCTAATATATCCTAACTATATTTGTTAAGTAGGTTTAGGTTAATACAAGTAAGAGCGTGGAATAGGCTTATTTTATACGTAAAATTTTAGTTAGGCCTAGGCCTAGGCCCTGGCTAGGGAATTTCCTACAGACGATGGAGCCCATAGACGATCGGATCGGGCCTAAAACTAAGACGATCGGGCCAAAAACTAAGACGATCGGGCCTATTTTCAGGACGATCGGCTCAATTTGCAAGTGAGCCCGATCCTCCTGAAAATAGACCCGATAGTCTGGAAATGGACCTGATCGTCCTGGGCCCGATCGTCTTTATATACAGTATTTGTTTAGGTTGATTTCAAGATTGAAAAAAAAACAAACACAGCATTATCATCCTGTTAAATTAGACGCTCTGTATACCGAAATAATATTAAAATAAATATGTTTTCTGATTATCTTAATTATGATTCTTAATAGCAGTATGTTAATATAATGAATTTAGAACACAATATTGAATCCAAATGAAAGTGGTGGTTGATAGTCCACACTAGTAGTAGTAGATAGGTGGATCCGATTGTCCACACTAGTTGGGCCCGGTCGTCTTGAATTGTTGGGCCTGATCGTCTTGTGAGCTTGATCATCTGACACCCATGTTAGATCCATCATGGTCTCCTTCTCTGCATACATGTCAAGGCTCACGCATTCGGTGTGAGACTCGCGCATTCTAGGTCTGTCTCATGCTCACGGTTGAAGGACCAAAATCTCACGCATAGGCCTAAATGTATTAATATTGATAATATTGATCCACATGCAGATTGCCTATAATAATAAAAAAAATATAAGAATTTCCAGCACTCTCACTAAATATTCATCATCTAATGTACTTAAATTAGGATTGGTTTTGTTGTTATACATTCGAACACAAATAAATGGCGCACTACACCAAGTTTAAGTTGGTTTGGCTTTCTAATTTTGATCGTGGATGGCAGAAATATGCATTCTCAAGAAAAAAATGTGTGATTCAGATTCCTATTCAAATATTCAGTTGTAAATACAACCATAAAATAGCAAAAAATACATTTCCGTTTATCTAGGGGAAAAAGCATGGGGGGGGGAGGGAATGCCCTAGACACCTCCCCTTGGGGAGAGGTTTTTAGAACAAAAGTCCCATTCCTGCAAATTAGTCGAACTTGACATGTGTGCCTCCGTCAGATAGTACTTCTGCCCTAGCATTATTCTTCTAACTAAGATTAACACATACCTAGACTAGATAGAGTTTGCTATAGCAAGCCAAATTTTCATTTAATCTCAAATAAAGATATCTTAGTTTAAACTACTCCCTTCACAATTACAGCATGCAGAATAGGCCTAGTCCTGATGGGCGCTTTCGATTTGTACGAGAGCGTGACCGTCCTACCTGGCGTCCTACGTTCTCTGCATTCATAGATTTGGCCAAATTGCGTTCCAGAATCTACTCGACGAGGTGACCTCAACGTTTTCGCATGCACATTATATTAGATTTTCAGGTTCTAAACTATGGAACTGATTCTCTCTCTCTCTCTACCATCTCATGTACTAACATGCCAATTCCAAAAAAATGTTTTTAACCAGCTTAAAAAATACCTAATTAAAGGTTTATTCTTCTTCATATCTCTCTGATTTGTTTGGCCACCTGTCTCGGTTAATGGATGTGAATCTGATTAGTATTGTTCCGCTGCACTGGTTTTCTGTTGATTTTTGTCTTGTGACCCCTGTTCTGTCCCTGCATTTTTTTCTTTTTATTTTCTTTTGTTATTTCAGGCTGCCCCAACAAAAGATCTGTTTACTTACCTTCTTGGGGCTTTTCCTTTTTTCTTTTTCGAGGGATGTTGGAAGTCAAACGAATAAGAAATATACATTTTTGCATCAAATTCAACCTTTGTTATTTAAAAGTATGCATTTTTTTTAGACATACAAGAGAATTAGAAGCTCCTGTTGGCTTCACATCATCCAGCCGCAATCTAGATGTAACATCTCAAGACAATGATAACAATTCAAATTTAGTTGATAAGGTAAGAAAAACAAAGGTACAGCATGTGTGAGTGGTTGCCTCAGGACAGTGGCGTATCTAGGAGTCAATGTCTTCAAATTGGGGGAGGCGCTGATGGGAGCACAAAGGTAAAAAGTGGGGAGGGTTGTCTTGATGATTAAGTGAGCAGGTGCTACTGTATCTCGCAAAATATGGTGATATACATGATTTTTAACTACTTGAGTGATTTTTTTTATATATGATTTTTAACTACTTGAGTGATTTTTTTTATATATGATTTTTAACTACTTGAGTGATTTTGGCTTTGAACATTTTTTATGTAGGTGCAACTGTGGGGAGGGGATATGTATGCCACTGCCGCAGGGGTTGCGGTCTGGGTAATTAGCCTTAAAATCAGAGGTTTTAACCATCACTATAAACTTTGCTTGTCCTCTCCACCCAGAAGTAGGATTTATGTCAGTGTGTCGATGACAAGTCGCAAGTGTCATGTAAATGCTGCTACCATACCTCAAATTGAAGCCCAGGTCTTCTTTTTTTTGCAACCTTTGGATGGGGTTCTTTTCGAAGGTACTTTTGCAAAGTAAAGAGGGGGGGGGGCTTCTTTTTAAAATGAATGCTGTAAATTTTGGGAATTACTACTATAGAACACTAAATAGGGCCACTATAACATCAATTTATATCAGGAAGTGTATTAACTGGCATTAAATCACCTAAACTACTTTATAAACCAAGCGTGTTTTTAATTTATTTTGTTTCTTTGAAATTCATGTGCAGTGTATGTACTATACTGTCTCGAAAAAAAAGCCTATGCTATCTTGAAATGAAGCCCATGGGTTTATTTTCAAGGCTACTTTTCAAGATGGGCTTCTTTTGAAGTTTAATCCCGTTGGGCTTCTATTCAAGGTTTTACGTTATGTTATCTCTATTTTGTATACGGTAATTATTATTCTAAATCTCTGTCCAAATTTTTTTTGACAAAAAAACTGTTGTATGCCCATATATAGTCATAATGCGCCTAAATATGGTCATGATATGATGTCATCATGACCATATATAGGCATGCCAAATGTGTTTGTCAAAAATTTTTGATAGTCTTGATTGGTCACAATTCAGTTCTGCTTGTCATGTGATTTGAGTGCCTTGTTTTCATTGCAGAAATGTTGGGACATCGCACTAGCCCCTCTGAAACAGATTCCAATGAATTTATTCATCATGTACATGTCTGGCAACTCTATCTCAATATTTCCAATCATGATGGTGGGAATGATGGTATGGCGGCCCATTCAAGCCATAATGCAACACAAGAAAAGTTAGTATTTTGTTTTTAATTTGTCATTAAAACAAAAGGTTAAAGGTAATGCAGATTAACAAATAGAGACTTGTTTATTGTCATATGAATGCAAACAGGAGTCACTGATTAGGTAATGACCATGAAGAACTTTGCCTTAATAACTATTACATTGATTTAAGCAATTGGAAAAATGTGGTGTGTAGGGCAGGGGTGGCATTCCTCCTGTTAGATCTGCTCCTGGTCAAAGGAAGAGATGACTAAATTTTGGGGTTAATTTAAAAGTCAGGGTCACAGGGAGTTCAAATTTTTGGTTTTTTAAATTTAGTGTTTGGCATTCAGGGACAGGTGGAAATATTATGCACTCATTGATGTTCCTGTTTATTTAATGGTTTTACTTATGTTAGGTTTTTGTCCTAATGTATATATTGTTTACTTTTATTTTTTTTTTGTACATAAGGGTACCATATGCAGTAATATTTTTAATTTGCTTTTTTTTTAGCTTTTAAAATGCTTGATGGAAGTAACCAAGCCATATTCCAGAAGTGTGTGTTCCTGACGTCGAACATGTTGGGTGTTGCTCTTGCGCTATACAAATGCTCATCTATGGGACTTCTGCCACTTTATGCATCAGATTGGTTATCATTCCTTGATCCCCAAACGGTAAGTGTGCTATGTTTATTCTGTTGTTTTTGTTGTTGTTTACGTTCATGTTAAGCACATAGAGGTGTCCGCAATATGCGCTCTATAAGTCGACCATTATTGTTATTAATCCAATCCATAGTTATATTGCACAGTAGAAAATACTGTATTAAAAATAACATCCTGAATGATAAAGCGTAAATTATATGATTAATGAGTACAGAGGCTATTAAATGGCCCATAAAATGCCTCTCATGTTTGTTGAGAAGGACACTACTATAGAATACATACTCGGCTCACTGAATGAGAATTTCATATCATAGTTATATTAATCATTTCATTGGTGTTCAAACAAAGGGCCGGCCCCCCCCCCCAATCGGTCTGGTTAAGGCCCCCCCCCCAATTAGCCAAAGCTCGTCGGGCAGGTGGACCAAAAAAAAAAGGCCTAGTTTTCCCATCCAAATAATTATGGGCCCCCTCCCCTGGTCAGACATCTTAGTCCCCCCGATAAATTATATCCTAGAGCCGCCACTGCTTATATAGGATACAATCGAATTGCACAGTGTGAGTTTCAAACTGACAACCATAATTTTGAGAGTTCAAATCCATTCATTTGCAAATATGGACTATTCAATTATAATATTTAAATGTTCATGTTGTGATTTTTACAATTTCAGAGAATGGAATACTCAGGAGGTGGAGTTATATTGTGAGGATCAACTGTCAATCAAATTATCTTATCATCAGCAGCAGAAAATTCTAACCAGCCTTCAGCTTGTATTCATCTTGACAGGATGGATCACTAGCCTGCCCTCAAACTTGCATTCTTCAGCACAATTCAGACAAATTTGTTAAACATCTGTGCTTAATGGTATACTCTGTTTAGCTCCTTTACTTACAATTTGTGGTTTATTATGGGGAACAGAATTTTGATGATAAAATTCTTAACTAAAATTTTTTAGTTTATAATATTTATTAAACATAACTGGTCCTGTGGCTGAAGAGTAGCTTCATACTGTTTAGGTTTTTATTATATATTTGAATATTATCTACTATTATTTCCAAGCTGCACCCTATGAGCTTTTCTAGTTTAACCACATCTTCACTATATGTGAGAGTTTCTGTTGTATGAGAGAATGTGTCTGGGTGTTAGAATTGCACATATATCCTATAGGTCTCTGTGGTCTAATGGATATGATACTTGCCTTGGCAGCGAGAGGTTGTAGGTTCGTATCCTGCCAGAGACACCTTTTGTCATACAATTGAATTAAAGGAACTTTTCATTGATGAGCTACTGTATGCTTGTTACGGTTATTAAAACTTGTTCCTATTTGAACACTGTTATTAATTTTTATCTATTTGTTTCTAAATACATATAAGTACATATA